GCTAATGAGACAAATACAAAATGAATCAAACTGACAGACTTCTTCTTCTCTTCTAAAGAAAATTAAAACAATCCTACAAAAAGTATTTCAACTGACAAATGATGGCTGGATTTTCTCACATGTATGTTTGAGAATATTTTATCTATGTTCAGTAAATGTATGAAAAACTGGTGAAGAGAATTTACTGTGCAAGCCTTTTTCAGTACTACTTAACTATAAGGCTCACCTTGTAAATGACTTATAAAGTGTTTATAGATAGGTTATTAATTCATCTGTAAACACTTTATAAATCACTAATAAATGTTTATTATGCAACAATTAAGGACGATAAAGACAAAACTGTCCAGTTTCTTACCAAATAATGAGTCAAATCTGTTCACGCACGTATTTCATTTAAAGGTGGTATATTAAACATTAACATTAGGCTTCAAAATTGTAAGCATAATAATGTTAAGAAACACATATTTTAACATATTATTGTACTGTTTTACTGTGTTATAAATATTCACAACTGTCAAAGGGAGAATTATTATAAAGTGTGATACAGTACACTATTTAATAATGACAAATAAACATTTATAAATGCCAAAAGTTAGTCTTTCATGTGAAAAATCATCATTTTTAAAACTTTGTGTTGATAATCAATATTTGAAATTATTGTTCAAACACGTAATTGTCAACAATGATGTATCAAAAAAGTAAAAAAATGTCATGTTAACGTACCAAATAATCCAACCCAATCTAAAATAATGTACAGTTTAACACTTTACAACAAGGATCCCTTTAATAATTGTGGATATTTATAATGCATTAATACAGTACAATATTATATGTTAAAATGTGTTTCCTAATAATTATTGTTCTTACAAGGTAGTAAATTAGTCTGAAATACTTAATACACAAACAGATTTGAGTCAGTATTTGGAAAGAAACCAGACAGTTTAGTCTCTTTTTTAACCTTAATTGTTGCATAATAAACACTTATTAATAATTTATAAAGTGTTTACAGATCAATTAATAACCTATCTATGAACTCTTTAAAAACCATCTATAAGGGGAGCCTTATTGTAAAGTGATAATCTATTAAAAATGC